TCTGATGGGCAGCTCCAGCTTGAGACCTCTGCTGCTGAAAGCAGGTATCTGGGTTTGTTTAGCTTCTATAATTGAAACACTGTTGCAACTCCAGCTCTGAGGCCGGCTGGCTGAAAGCAGCTATCTGGGGATTGTTTAGCTTCTATAATTGCAACAGTGTTGCATAGACCGGAGCTCAGAGCTGAGCAGCAGCAGGTGGGGAACCTTGGCTTCCTCCCATCACTGGAGCAAGCAAGCCTCCTGTTCGCTTCAGCTGCCTGGCTATCGGCCGCCATCTTGGTTTGCAGTTTATTTGCATATCGCCCTGATTAGCCAATGGGAAGCATTCGGGGGTATGGTCAATTTGCATGTTACTTTTTTATTAGATAGGATGTTAGTATCACATGCAAATGACTTTCTTATAAGTATTAATCCTATCTAATAATAGACAAACATGGTAATTAACCGTAGTTCCGACACACGACACACCTGGGACAAGGTGTTAATAGTACTGCTAACTCTGAAAGATTAAGCTTTTCTGGAGTAGTTTTTATAATATATCAGAATCTTGTTGTGGTGACCTGATGCACATCTACCAAAAATACTCAAATGGTTTTAGCAGTTACTAAATTCACCCATTCTTTTAAAGTATTAGAGAATTCTAGAGTTAGCAGTATAAATAGAACTGATTTCTCCTTAGACTTTTCATGTAAAGTTGATTTTTATTCAGCAATAATAAATAAATTAACTGTGTTTTACTTATATATCAACTTTTTTAATTGCTTTTACACTTTTTCAATTGTCATATAATATCTAAGAAAGCAAAAGAATGTTCTCATGCAACATAAAATAGAGGTGCCATGGTCAGAATATGAATTTACCACATTGCAAACACACTGATGAAGTGTGGTATTTTTTTCTCTGAAATTTCCACACTTAACAGGAAACATAGACAGCAAGCCTGAGTGGGTGGGTCTCTGAGGTTAAAACTGTTAATAAAATACTTGAAATTTAGTTTTAAATGCAAAGCATTTATAACCATGTTTAGTGTATTAACAACAGTCGTGTTCTGACGCTTTATACTAGGTGAGTATAACTGGATTTTTTCCACCTTCAAATGACTTTTTTTCCTCTCTTAGAAAATGAAAGCAGTTGATCTCCTAACTATAGTTAGTAAATTCTCTTACAGCTTACATTTAGTAGTTTAACATATGAGAAAGAATAGTTTAACATTAAGAATTAGCATTTATAAGAGAGCCATAGATGCTAAAGTTCATGTTTTAAAACTTCAAATTCACTTATGAAAAAATGAAATCTGAGTCAACATCCTTTTTTATTTTTTAATTGATAACATTTACATCTCCTAGCAAATGTTAAATGTTCGTATATTAAGGAGATGTCATTAGGCCAAACTAAAAAGGCTTTGGCAATAAATATATGAAAGGATAGGCATTTGTGTGGTTTGGATTCACAAATAATTTGTTACTCATGGTTTAGTAAAATTAATAGACTAAAACATTGCACTGAAAACTTAGATATATTATAAAATTCAGGAAGTAGTGAAGGACTTTGAGATTATATAGTGTACTAATAACATAGATACAAGTTGTAAGGTCAGAATTGGGATTTTGGGTCCCCACCCATCATGGTTTTTTTGTTTTTTGTGGGGTTTTTTTTGCTGTTCTTGGAGGGGGAGAGGGTTGCAGAAGAAAATGTTTGTGGCAGAAGAAAACATTTTCTACAAAAGAAAATAATTCAAGAGAGAATACATGGAAATGCAGAAAGGAATAAAGACTAATGTAATGGGAGAATATGTAAATAAATATAAAAGAATACCAACCCAATAATATCTTCCGGGATTTAAAATATGTAGAAATAAAATACAAGACAAATAATATAGTAACTTTAAAAGAATAAGACTAGTAAAATATTGTAGAAAGTAAACAGGCGAACAGAGGAGAGATTAGAATACTAAGAAAGTAAATATAAGTCCAAATGTGCTTCCTGGTTTGTACATAAATTTTATTGAGTACTCTTGGTTATTGTTACCATGCTTTTTTTTAGCCCATTCTTTCTCTGTGTTCTTCAGTGAATTTATTTATTTATTTATTTTCAGTGAATTTCTTACTCAAATATAAAACTATCATTTATAAGATAATTTGTTATGTGTTTTTATACACGTAGTTTAATTCATAATAGCCTCCATACTAGCTCTGCATATCAAAAAACTAAAATTTAAATAGATGTCATATATTTTCCATGAATTTTGACTACTATTTGAATTTGCATACAAAAAAGACTTCAGTTGTTAACTTACCTAAAATTCTGAGGATGTTTAATCTCTGCAAAGATCAGTATCTTTTCTGAAAAGATAATAGCTGACAATATATAAATAGGTAACAAAACATATTCTTTTATTTCCCACCATGAGACAGAATAGTTAACCTTCTAAATGGGCGGGGAGAGGTCAATGAGAGGGGAAGGAGACATGTGTAATACTTTCAACAATAAAGAATTTAGAAAGGAAAGGAAAGGGAA